CATCATTTTAGGAGAAAATTCCTTTTGTCCCTATTGTGGAGGTTTTAATCAATTTTCCTTTCTCTTGTAAAGTGGATAAATGTAAAGAGGCCAAAGATTCTGACTTAGAACGCCAAAGTATCTTTAAATTGCCACGAAGAGTATTCCATAAACACATGAAGGGAGAGGAAAGCAAACAAAACAATCTCTCTGCTTACTGAGAGTGATAACAAAAGAAATTAGGTTCAGTTAGTCATTTAAATTCTTCACTATGTTTCTTTCCAATGTGTTTGCAGGAGGCTTGCATTTCTTCACATCTTGGAGTAGCTTATCTACTCTTGTCTAAGCTTTTGTTTTCACCCTCAGTTTTCTCAATATCCAGTTTTAGTGTGCTTTAACACTCCTTCTCAACAAAAATGCAAAACATTGGATTAATGCACTAAATGAAGTGTTCAGCTTCTATGTACTCGTGTCTGTTGGGAGTTACAACTTTATGGGGACTGCAAAATTAAATAAAAATCTTAATTATTAATTTTAACTTTTCACAAAATCAACCTTCCTCCTTCTAAAGCCAGCAGCTTTGCAAAGTCCAGCAAGGCAAGTCTGCCACGGCATACAAGCAAGATGCTTCCAAAGACAGGACTCATTTAAGACATCACACACTTTTAATGTTGAGCTTACATATTAAGTTATTGCTTTGTAGGATAGGTGAATACACCTCCCAGAACCAAAAGACTTGCATATTTTCAGGCATTTAAGGCTTACATGTCTAATCCAAAACATAATAAGGTCATGAACAAGTGCTAAGGAGTGAATTTATGAACCTGTTGAAAAAATCAGTCCTGGCTTGGCAGTTTGATCATTTGGCACAATGATTTTTCTTTTGATCCTGCTTAGAACCACAAGAACACAGCATCAGCCAGCCACAGCAGAGATCCAAGCAACTTCAGAGCATCTGATGGTTTGTGTCATGCTGAACAAAATGGGAAATTGTTACTGCAAAGCTAGAGATATATAATTGTGTCTGGAGTGTTTAGATTGACTAATGAAAGGGATGACAGGTCACAAGTAGCTGCTACTGTTGGTTAAATGACACCCCAAATAGGCCAGATGTGTCAGAGGGATGTTACACCTGGTTCTAATGTAATCCTTGAGGATTTTTTCATGGAAGTTTAATTAATACCCCTGGTAAACGCAGGGCCTGGCAAAGGTCATTTGAAATAGCTACTTCTGTGAGCAACTGTATTGCAAGGGATGCACATTCAATACATCCTTGCCTGAACTATTCCAGAAAAATGTCATTTGGGGATAGACTGCTGCCTCATTAAGGTTAGTGAAATGGGAGGGGTTGGTTCTCCTGGACACCAAAGCAAAACAATGCACATTTTTATCCTTTGGTCCAAAGTAGCAAACCATTAAACTATAAGTTGAACCTACAGTATTAACAAGGATCTTCCTGAAATTTGATCAGTAAACCCTTACTAAAATACTCCCAACAAATCAACCAAGAAATTAAGACCAGTTCAATAAACAAGATCAAAACTTAGAGTGATAAATATCTACAAATGTAATTGAGAAAAGTGTTGGGTTGCAAGAGATGGTGCTATAGTAATAAACACTTAAGGATCCCAAGTCATTTCTGACTGTGGCACTTGGGTGACTCACGGCAGCTAAAATTGAAAGGTTATGACCTGGCTCCCTAAGGAAAGGTGTAGTTAATGTCTGGATTGACAAATTCAAATCAGGGAATACAATAGCAAGGCAATAGTGTAGACCTGCCCTGGAAGTCTATGTGCCCAGATAGACAAGGAATCAAACACAATAGCCTTACATCAAAGCACTTCTTATCACCTTGGGAGAATCAGCCCAAAGATTTGTTCATCCTGTGCAGAACATCCTCTCTTGTGACAGCCTGTTTCTACTCTATTCCCTGGCACAACAAAGCTTAGAGATATTTTTTTGTAAATTTAATTTAGTTTTATTTTCCTTTTAGAGCATATCCTTTCAAGAAATAACTGAGCATTCAAGAAAGCAACACTTTGCATTTAAAAAATAACTGTGGACAGGGAAAAAAAGCAACAAAATAAATCCTCCTCTTCCCTAGCAGAGAATACAGCTTTGTCTTAGTGAACACCTTTTATCATTCAGATATGCTGTTGCAGCACCCACCCATGCCAAATATTTCTTCAAAGGGAATTCCTTTTGATTTCCCTTTTATTATGTACCTCATAAAATGTTCCAATACAGTAATCATTATCTAAATGATTATTCAGATGGATAGTGCCACCATTATCTTAATTGTACATCCAACCTTGCTGCAATCCTTGCAACCACATTGCTTATTTCAAAAGTCCATTTTAGTGCTGCATGGAAATAAAAAGCTTTAACCTTGGGATAGAAACAGCAAAGGAAAAATCTTACATTAAATATTTAAATGGTATTTAAAAGAGTGAAGAGCAGGGGGAGGAGCAAATGATGTTGTTACTAGAAACCACCTTGAATCAATTTTAATGCTGAATGAACAAATACTGTAAGATGCTGATAGATATGCATATCATCAAGCTAAAGTTTAGAATCTTTTATTTGAGTTCTTCCCTAAATTGTGTAGGAAAGGATATTTCTATTATATACGTATATTTTATATTTATTTGGTGCATATATATATATAAGGTATTACTTGGGTATTTATTTATTGGGCATTGCTGATGGTTTTAAGTGTATATTTTATAAAAGGATTTTATTAAAAATGAAATTAAAAAATAAAAAATATATATTAAAAATTAAATTTTAAAATACATATTGCTCCTAAAAACATAATAGTTGTGAGTTAACAGTGCACCTTTTCTGGGGGAGTGTAAGGGACCTGTGACAGAGGCACAGCACCAGGCCATGGCACTCCTGCTGCTGAAGGCACCCAGAAACAGGAGTGTGCATCCTCCCACCAAGCTGAATGCACCCCAGGAAGCAAACAGGGAGTCTCTGAAGCTGTTTACTGTCACTACACATGATGATTTACTCTTGAAAAAGGAATTTTTGAGAGTAGAAGAAATCACCTTTGCATCCCACTCAGATCACAGGCTGGATGAGACCAAGTTTGGTATTTTAATGAGTGTTATCTGTTTGCAGGATGGTTGCAAAGTACAGAGCAATACTTTTCTTACCTGATTCTATTTCTCTTACACAGTTTGTTTCAATGAATTAGCTGCTTGGAAGGCAGAGATGCGAGAAGCAAAACTGTGGTGATGAGACAGAGTGCATAAAACCTACAGATCCCAGAAATTTTCCAGGGGGAAAAAAAAAAAGAGAAATACTAAATTAGTGATGTATTCTTCTGAATATTAAGCAACTCGAGCCAGTAGTTTCAACTGAGGATTGCAGGGAAATAGCATCAGCTGAACCCAGGCAAGCTGCCCCTCAAAACCACCAGATTTTGGCTGCAATATATGCACACGTTTCACTGGCACATTTGTGCAAGGCACTGCCCTGCTGTGCCTTGGTGCCAATTCCAGTGCCTGGGACCTGCTGCCACTGGTGATGCACGTGCACAGCTCCTGGGCAGGCTGTGCTGTGTGCCTGCAGCTCTGACAGACAAAGAAAACAAAAAGGAGAATTAAAACAAGAGAGGGGGAAACACCTCTGCTTTCTCAGGATCTGCTGATGGACTGTGTGTCTCCTCCTGTCCTGACAGGATGCCAGAAAGTCACCTATACCCATAGTGGAGCAGACCTTTGGATATTTATAGTTATAGATGTACATAGATGCATCAGTAATATCCCTGTCACTTCTGTCTCCACACACAGTAACACTCTGCAAGTTAGTGCATTTTTTACCTGAATTTGAATTCTGTAATCCTGACTCTCCTTTCCCATTGCTTGAATCAGCCATCGGATTTGTGCAAGCTCTCACTGAACTCAGCCAGGCCTGCAGTACTTGTGGCAAACACTTTTCTCTCCCTCTCAGGATTTTTCACAGAAGTGCACAGAGAGAAATGAAAGAGAGAACAATTTCTGTTTCTGCTCCTTGTTTTTCCCATGTGGAATGTGTTTGGGGAATTGATTACCTGGGGTGATTGCTTGATTGGATTCTGGTGAGGATTGTTTGAGCTGATGGCCAATCCAACCCACCTGGGGCTGGGCTCTCAGAGAGGGTCACAAGTTGTGTTGGAGTTAAAGTAGTATGTAGTTTTAGTATCCTTCTTTTATATAGTATATTAATGTATTTTAGCATAGTAATAATAAAGAAATAATTCAGCCTGCTGAACTGAGTCAGACATCCTCATTTCTTCCCATTGGGTTCGCCTGCATTTACAATAGTATTGGCCTGGTAAAATGCACTATTTGTAAATCTGTGATCATGCAAATTCTTTCTGAAATCCACCAGGCTGACAGTGCCAAATTGACTGCAATCAGAAATTAAGTGCAGCCACACCCAGCCCCTCTGATTACTGAGGACCAGCTGGGACACAAGAGCGTTTATTTCCTGCCAAATTTCCATACCTTAATGCAGCAGAAAAAATCAGGGAAAAACAGTGCAGAGTGCATTGTGTACCCCAGCCCCAGAGGAAACCATTAATCCACAGGTGATTTATTCTTCATTAGAGGAAGATTCCCTCTGCAGTGATGTGGTCTCATTTCTTCACCCTAACTTCTACTTCTCTTTTCATACAACTCCACAGAAAATTCTGACTTTAAAGAAGGCAACATCTGTGCATAACATTTTGTCATTTTCTCTAATTTTCTGTCTTTTCTAATCACTGCCAATGCTGTCTTCTTCTCAATTGCTCTATTTTTTTATCTAAACACACACATGCTTCTTTTATGGTAGTGTTCTGTTCATTTCCCCATTATTTCTTAGCTAAAACTTTCCAATTATTTTGTCTTTAGTTAAAAGACTTCACTTCTTCAAATTCACCCCGAGCAACTTCATTATTTTGCTTTCCAGCTATCTATCCAGTGTCAATTATGGGACCAATTTTTGCTGTGTTACTGAAGCAATGATAGTCCAGTTCTCTAGCAGAGTGATAACAGCGTTTGACTCACAATTTTATTTTTTTTAATTGCTCATGGATTTCAATCTACTTTGTGAAATTCATTTCTATTTTAAACATGATGAAGTGGAAATGAGATGAGCTTTTAAATGAGTGGAGGCCGGAAATACAGACATCATTGCCCCTCTGTTGACTTTGACCTCATTTTGCTGGCAACCAGATCTACCCACTATAAAAAGGATTCAAAACAAATGCTGATTTGTGCCTAATTAGCAATATTTGGAGGCACTTGACAGCACTGAATCAAAGAACTGACCTTGATATCAGAACATTGTACCTCATTACACTGAGAAGGATACTTTCTGAACTGCTGTGGGGTCATACAATTGGAAGTTTATATTAAATAAATGTTCTAAACATTACTCTTTTATTATTATTATTCTTTAGATTCAAATGTTTAAAACATTACTCTTTTATTATTATTCTTTAGATATTCAGAGATTTCCTAAAAATGCTGCCAAAACCTAGAACAAGAACTGTATGTTTTTTTATATAATACTTGGGGTGTTTTACCTTTTGAAGGATATATCACCAATTCCACAAATATTATAATATAAATACTATACAGCATTAAGTTTCCACAGGTGATTGTTTTCAGTTTGTTTGAGATCCTTTTTTAGAACAAATGGCATTCAGAAGATGCGTTATCCCATGGCAAAAGGGAAAACAGGTTACGGGAGGTGAACTGCATTTTGGTCTCTGTGACACTGTTGTGGTGAAAAATGGGTGACACTGCAGAAGTGTGGCCCTCAGCTCTCCTGGTGGCCCCAGCAGCACTGCCAGCTCCTGTTCCTCTGTCAGGAATCTCACAGCCTGCCTTGAGTGTGCAAGAACCTCACCTGCTGTCAATGAATTTTCATCACGTGTAGAAACTGGAGATAGAATCAGACATCCTTGACAAATTATGTTTAGTCAGAACATTGTGCTGTTTTAAATGTGAGAGGGATACAAACAGCAGCTCTCTGCTCAGGGCTGCAATGCATTACTGCAGCCAGACCATCAACCCAAGAAGTGGTTCTTCATTCCCTTCTGAGGTGTTTATTAAGACATAAATATAATTTATACATATTTTTCAGTGTTCAGAGCCTTGTGAACATATCAAAGCTTTCCAAAAGTCATTCTGTTGCTGATTACTTTACTGTGCTACTTTTCTCTCTCTTTCATTGCAAACCAGTCTCAAGAAAGTTTAGCTCAGAATCTACCCAAGTTGCTCTCCTAATATTCTAAATGGAGATAACTAGCTTACACTAAAATTATCTTTCACTGAGAAACCTGGAATAATTTAGGAGAGAGTTGAAGACTGTGTCCTTACTCATATCTGGAGGAGTTTGTATTTGAATATTGCCAATTAAAGGTGCCCTCAGAAATAGCTGAAAGAGGAACAACTTCTGAGGCTTGTGTTGCTTTCTAATTTTATCTTGCTCAGAACTCGAAGTCCCACAGCACCCAGCACTAACAGGAGTTAGAAATGGCATGCACTTAGAGGACTTTCACCAAACAATTTTTCTGGCTTGCACTGAATTTCTGGTGATTCCATAAATTTGACTAGTCCATCAATGCTTCCAGCATTTTGTGTAGTAAACAGCTCTTGTAAACTTAGACTGGTATTTTTGTCAGAAAGCTTTTCTGCTCCAAAACCAATCCTTCACTGCTCTTTAATATCATTCAGTTGTTTCTAATCATGTCTCTTTAATTGTATTTTTAGATGTCTGAGCTGTCTTTTAGGCCTTTTACTTAGTCACACTCATTATTATTAAGTAATTCCTGGTTCCCAGTAAGTTTTGCTGCTCTTTGAATAAACACAAAAGGTTCAATAGTGGCTTTATTGTTGCAGGAATGGTAGAGAAGGAGAACCAGCTATTTTTGTATTGGAGATACCACGGTTTGACTGAATTTTCCATATATTAAAACATTCATGTTATATGTGAAGGGCATCCCACATCCTTAAGAAAATTCCTCTGAAGTCATATCCAGGCAGGAGAGAGATGGGAGTTTGTGTTGCTGGAGTTGTCATCACCAATTCTCATCCTCTGGGATCTTTTACCAGACATTAGAGCCTAGGGCAGCCTTTGAGATGCTCTCAGAGCTCTCAGAGCAAAGGAAGGAGCCTGCTGGATCCATTCTCTTTCTGTTCCAGCAGCTGGTACTTGCTTAATAGGTGAAAAATATGCTTTGAATATTCCCACTTCAGTCGACGAATACCTTTAAATGGAGGAGAGTTCCACTCTGCTTCTTCAGTGAATATTCTTCCCTTCACATGTCTGAGTAGCTCCAAGTTCCCTGCAAGTAACCCACTGAATTTGCTTATCCATCTATCTTCCACCACTGGTATTTCCTTTGGCTTGGCAGTGTTATGGCATTTTATTTGAGCAACTTGTTCTAGGCCTCAGCTCCTCCAGGTGGAAATATCAACACAGACAAAGGCCAGAGTCCCAGAGGAGTACCTAGGATTACCAAAATAGTAAATTTCCATAAGATGACAGTTCTATAACCAGAGTGTATGGGTCACATCTTCTCCTTGGCTCTCTCTGTTGCATAAACACAAACCAGTAGGGAACATTGTATTTTTAATTTTATCATTTAATTTGCAGCATGCATGGTGTCTGTGCAGACATGGAAACAAGAGCACTGCTAAACCCCAGCAGGAAAGGGACTTTTTTATTGTGTGGTATTGGTCAGTCAGTGGGACAATTCATCCATGGATGCTTGTTCTTCAACCAACAGGTAACTGCAGTATTTCAGATATTTCCACCCAGCACAAACTCCTCACACATGCAAATTCCATCTGGCTGGAGGCTTCACTGTGAAGGCAGCATAACTGCATGGATTTTATGGATTTTACACCAACATTCCAGGCTGACAGCAGGTTGCAGTGCTTCTTCCTTTCACAAGTGAATGGCCCTCCTTACCGAGGAGAAAAAAAAAAGAAGCATGCCAGAGAAAAGCAGAACATTTGTAATTTAAGAATAAATAATAAAGTTGCTGGAGGGTAAAAGAACCAAGAAAGTTATTAACTATGGTGGTAATGTCTATTTAAAATGGTAATGAAAAGCAGTCTGCTCTGAAAGAAAACTATTAAATAAAGGCTCAAGTAACATTTTCAATCAGATTGACACCACTGATATTACATAATTTGCCAGAGTTTACCTGAGGACCTGGTATTTTGCATTCTGGCAGACTCAAAGTTCATGGACACCATCTGATGCTCTGCTCTGACCATTGGTTTTGTCAGAGTCACACCAGAATAAAATTCTTCTGAAAGGATGAAGAAACCTATTAAACACAGAGTGGGGACTGAAACTGGGAGCTGATGTTGTTTTATCAGATGGTTCTGTACTGGTTTCAGTAGGTTCAGTACTTGTTTTAACCCTGTTAGAAGGGAGCAGGATCTGGTCTTTTTCCCTGGATTTTGTTGCAAAGTATGGGTTTATTCATCCTCTAAGAGACATCAAAGAAGTGCAGCACCACTATTTGTTGTCTTTACTGTGGTTTTGCCTCTAATTTTACACTCATGGTGCCTTGTCCCATTCCTGTCCTGTGCTGCCCCAGTTCTTTGCTGTGTGGGACAATCCTGGGGGTTTGCTCGTGCTTATGGTTTCTTCCACATTTTTCAACAGGGTAAAGCCAAGTGGAAGCATCTTTATATGTGTATTAGTACCTGGACTGAAGCTGGGTCATCTTGGCCTTCTGCATTTCGTTGACCCCATGTTCTGAATAAGTCCAGCAGGCTGTAGGTTACAAAAAAGAAAGGAGGGAAAAGGTGTAAAGAGAGCTCTTTTGGCATTTGGAACAGCACATTTGGACTTTGCATTTTCTGATTTTTTCCCTATGACCCAGTTTTTTCCCCCATCCAATCCCTTCACTATTTTGGTTTTTAGTTTTTTCTGCCTTTTTTTTTTTCTTTCTTTGCTGTATTTTTATTGATTTTTTTTTTTCTTATGAAAACTGGGACAATTTCAGCTTGGGGTCATCTGAGATCACCAATTATCATATAGGGTTACTAGACATGACCTGTATCCCAAAATTTTGGCTCATGGTCATCTGAGATCACTAATCATCACATAAAGTTATTAGAGGGCAATATTATCCCAAAATTTCAGCTTGTGGCCATCTGAGACCAACCAGTCACTGGGCCTTTGGGGTATCAGTTGAGGTCACTAAATTAACAGAAATTTAATTAAATTAATTTATAACAACAAGAGTCTCTGCTGAGCATTGTTCAAAGACATAAAGGAGAGTTACTGCTGGGGACAGTGTCAAACACATAAAACCACAAAACTTATTTTATACCATGGTTATTAATTTCAAAAATCACAGACACATTCACTATCTCTCCAGCTGCTCCCATCCATCAGTTCCATTGGGCCATCCCTTCCAGTCATCCAACACTATCTTAACACTGTATTTTCAACTACAACATGATGTGAAAGCAAATGCCTGATTTTTTCCTAAAAGTAAAGGCAGGAAAAACAAATAGGAATTAATACTTGTAATCTTAGGGGGAATTAGTCTTCCCAACCATCTACCTCCTTAACCACACTCTGTTTAACAAAATGTGCTTCCTAAACTTCATTGTTTACTGTGCACTAAGAACACAAGACAGGTGTCATGGGTGCTGTATTTTAAGCAGGGGAAAACATGGCAGATATCTGCCATCTATGCAATACTACATTCTCTAGCACAGAATTCAAACCACATTTTTCAACCATAAAAAAGAAAGCCAAACCTTGCCTTGCTGTGGTCAGACCTTCTTGTTTTCAGACAGGGTTTAGCAGATACATTGGAGATGATTCAATTTCAGATTCACAGAAACTGTGCAGAGATGCAGAGCAAACAGGAGCCCTCTTTGCTGCCTCAAGACAGCAATGGATGCAGCAATGAGAATAAAGGTCTGTCTGGAGGGACAAAATTGTTTGATCAGATCAAAAACATTTTTCAGGAGAAAACCCAGAAACCAGGGAACAAAAATTAAAATTCCTTTTTTAATCGTCCATAATGTGCTGAGTTCAGCTTGGACTTTAAAAGGAATGAAATTTGACATGCCAGTGAGAACACAGCCACTCACAGAAACAAGGTTTAATGCTCTTCCAATAAACTGATTCTACCTTCCACTTGCCCTCTATTTCATTCTTTCCTTCTTTCTGCACTGTTCTTCAGCTTCTTTCCTTGGAAACCAAGCTCCTCCACTTCCTCTTCTACTTTAGGCCAGCACATTCCTGCAGTGGGAACAGGGGCCTAGATATGAAAAAAATATTCCCCCAAAGGAGGGAGTTATCTGCTGGTGCTGTGCTAACGAAGGCTGATAGAATTGTAAAGCTTAAATAAAAGCAGAAAAGGCCTGGAACCGTGTGCCATGGGGAACTGGGTTGCTTTACAGAAATAAAAGAAGGGATGAATAGGTGAGACAGTCTCTCATCACTAGACATGACTTCACCTATAGGCCTTCCTCCTCCCTCCCAGCAATGACACTGGCTTTCTTTCATAGCAATTCATGCATTTCAAAGGGCCAACAGCATAAAAGGATTCCAAAAATAGGTTAAAGCCTGAAACCAAAAAGCAGCTGTTTGATTAGCAACAAGAGAAGCAGAAGGGGAAAGAATTGTAGGACAGAGCTCCCTAAGTGTTCCAAATTACTTGTATTTCATGTATTTCATGCTATCTAACAGACATTCTTCTAGAATCAGGACACATTTCAGATGTACAGGGACTGATGTAGCTGGAACATGCTGTGTGTGCTCCTTTCCCCTTACACCAAGAAGGATTACTGAGAATCAGGGTCCTGGGATATGACTATCAGCATTCCCTGTTACAGGACACCCTACAGGATCATCTTGCACTGGAACAGGAAATTTGCATCACTGCTTCCCCTGTTCTGATGTAACTGCTGGACACATACTCCGAACTTGTGTTTACAGAGTGTCAGTGTCACAAGGTGGATCCTCTGCATCCTACAGATCCCTGGACTCCTCCCATAGAGAAGAAATCCTACATTCACCCTTTATCCAAAGCCAAAGTTCGTCATCTATCTTGGAATGACAGCCTGGAAACAAAATGGTTGAGCAGAACAAAGAGTGATTCAGTGTCCTCAGACTAGCCAGGATTCACTCACTGTGTTAGGTGGCAAGAGAGGATACAGAAACCCATCCTCTGTGTGTAAGTACACAGATCTTGCAGCTTAGAACAGGTACTGGATTCAGGCTGAGTTTAGAGATGGCAGATCTCAGAGCTCATTACATCATTAGACAGCTGGTATGCATATTCAGGCCAGAACTGAGATTAAAATAAATATCCAGCAGATCTGTACACCACTGACAACTCTACAATGTGAAAAGGGATGAAACAAGTTGAAGATAAACCCTTCTGATTAAAAAGCAAGGGCGGGAAGAGATGTACCAATATTCAAGCTACAAGCAAGGCTTGCAAAGGAGAAATCCAATCCTAGTTCTGTTAGACAGATGAATTGATCAAAAATGCCTTGTTTCTCATATAACCCACTCCTATGCCAACTCACCCTGGCACTGTCACAGCTGAGCCCTGCAAGAGCACTCAGTGGTGGGACAGCTGATCTCCCAGAACTGTGCCAGGCAGGGTGTGGGCAGCCAGCAGCCACTGGTGGCTGTGTCCTGTGTGTCCCCAAGGAGTGCAGCCCCTCCAGCAGCCAGAGGCTCAGAGATGTGCCACACAGGAGTTCTGTTCCCATGAAGCAGTCTCTCATCATCCTTGAACTTCATCCCTACAGACCTGGTCCCTGCACATGGAGCACCAGTGGGGAATTCTGCTCCTTCCATCAGCCCAGGAATGCTCAGCAGGACCCAGCCTTCCCTGTCCAAGCTCTGGTACGAGGTGTGTGTGTCCCATGCAGGGATCTGTCACTCCAGTCCCACAGCAGTGACCACTGAGGTGTAGCAGACATTCCTGTGTCTGTGCAAGGGAGCTTAGTTTCACAAAGGTAAGGAAAGTCAGCAGCCACAGAGGAGATACAGAGAATTACCAGCTCCAGCTGCACCAAGAGCTGTCCAGACAGAGAGGCATAAGGAAAACGAGGGCTGGGACAGGGCAAGGGAGGGGAAGGAATTTCTCAATAAAACAGCAGATGCTTGAGAGGGAAAAGCAACTGAAACTCCTTTTCTTTTTCCAGTTAGATGGAGCTTGCACAGGTAGAGGCCATACTGCTCCTAGACAAGGACCAATGATACTTTTGACAGTACAAAATGACCACAGCCAAATCAAGTGTTCAGCTGCCAAAGTCATACCTGAAAACATGCTGCTAACTGGGCAAAGCAAGCAGAAGTGTTTTCTGCACTGCCTCTCTCACTGTTTGCCTCAGCTTTAGCCTTGGAGAACACCCAGTGCTTTAAAGACCTAGGCAGATGGGGTAGAACTGATCCAAATAAATCAATTAAGAGGTCCATATCTGAGCTACTTGGATTAGATTCTCTCCTGAATTGTTAATGGACATCATACAATTCATCATGCACTAAAATAGAGAGCTAAAATAGGACAGGTGACTCATGCCTAAAAATAGATAATCACTTCCATTAACTAATAAGGAAAGCCTGGAGTGCCCAGTGCAGCTGCAAATGCATATACATCACAGGTGTCTGAGGTGCAGAGAATGAATCCCATCCCAGGCTCTTGTCAGTAGCAGGAATGACTCCTTTTCCAACAGTGCCTGCAGACCCACAGGGACAAACACTTGTGTGCTTTGCTGCCTTTCCCAGCACAGAGCCCAGGAACACGACAGGCGAGGCTGAGACACACATCACAGCTCCCTCCTCTTTTAAGGTATGTTTGGGCTGTGTGTCCCTGCTGGAGATCAGGGATACTAAAAGAAGGCTTTCAGCCCTGGCTCCACACCTGCAGCACTGCAGAAGAGTGTGTGAGTGCCATGTGGCAGGTGAGTGGAGCACAGTGCTCCTGTTGCTCCTGCCAGAATCAAGGGTCAGTCCCTCAGCCAGCTCCCAAGCCCAACACTTCCTTGTGATCCTGTGAAGCAGGGGAGATGATTGCCTTCTGATTATCTTCAAGGTAAGTGGGGAAGAAGACAGAGGGTCCCAGAGTGTCAGGCCAGGTGGTTTAAGGACAAAACTGCCTGGTGCTGAGCAGGAGGGATCTTTATGGCAGGAAAGTCACCTTTGGGGCTGAGAAGAAAATTGTGCTCTTGTAAAGAGATGCTCTTATAACAGAGAAGAAAAGACTTAACCTTGCTGGGCGTGAAAAAAATCATTGGGAAAACTTGATAAATTTGAAAGCTTCATTTACCCACGTCACCATGTCACCTCCAGATAGGCTGTGGTGGGGAACTGACCTGCCAGAAAAGAATGGAAAAATGGTTTGGACTGCACAGCCTAATTCAAAAACCATTCCTGACTTCTGTTCCGAAATTAGCAGGGTTTCTTTACATCAAATCTTCCCACACCCCTCCAATATCCCAGCATTTTTCTCATGATCTCTGCTCCTCCATGACCACCTAGACCACCAGATACCTAAGATCTGTTTTCACTGTGGGATATAATGACTCCCCTGGTTAAGACACAGTGAGTGCTACTGAAAAGCCCCTTGGTTCACTGTTAGGTTTGCCCATGCAAAATCCTTTCCTTCAGGGAGGAGATACATGATATTCTCACTGTGTATTAAGATTTTTACCTGGAGTTACTACGAATAATTAGCTTTCCTCCTCAGCTTGCCTGGACAAATAGTTGTCAGAAAGGATGTATGGCTGCTGTGTGTCCTCTTTGCCCATGTTTCCCAGCCCCTGGACCCTCCTATCACCCAAGATAACCAATCTTTCACTGACACTGTCCCAGAGCAGTGCTGCATTCATCCTAGTGCTGGCCAGCAATCCTCTGCTAGCATGCAGAGGGAACAACTGTTTAAACTCACTGCTGATGCATCCAAAGGACCAGTGTGCACGATCACAGATCCACTTTTAAGTATCTGTACAGATACAGAATATAAAGGATTTAGTCAAAGATATTCTGGAGCCATCAATAACTTAACCTTGTAAGCCTTTTGGGTGACTATCCCAGTGAGTGCTGTGCAGATTTTTGGTAATTAGTCCTACAAACTAATATTAGTCCTACTAAACTAATATTAAGAAAATGTGCAACTGAGCATGCTAATAATAACAGCAACCAGTTTGTTATACTGCATGTCTCCATAAAGATATTCTTTTTAACACCTTTGGCACAACTGGGACCTTGCATAATTAAATTTGATTTCACTTTCTCACAACTCTAAGCATAACTGGAGATTTCTAATTAGTTACAATTATTCTTTTAGAAATGTGTTTCTATTTAGTATAACCTTGTATTCTTTTAGCCAAATGCCATATGTATTTATTATTATTATCTCCTGCTGACAGCTTTTTAACGGAGACACTTTGACTGAGATAAATAACTATATGCCTCCCAACCACAGTTCTTTGTGTGGCATCTGCTTTGGGTGGTAAAATAATTTACTAAGTGAAAAACAGCAGTTTATGGAGATAAGCTGATTTTCCATTCTACTATTTTAAGTAGAGATAAAAATGCAGGCTGATTATCTTCTAAATCTAACATTTCCACACCCTACCCCACCAAAAGCTATTAATAAAATGTCCTCTTTAATGAGACTTCCTCACCTAATTGTGTTTCCCTTCTGCCTGAAACAGCAGACTACAGTTTTCTCTCAATGTCTCCAATGCCTGCCCAGCTGGCATGCCCAGGAGCACTCCCCGTGCCACTCAGGGGGGAGATGCAGGTCCAGAAACAGCCCTGCCCAAGAAACCCACCCCATTAAATAATTAAATAGACATAAAATATGTTCCAGCAAAGGGACAGTCCTTGCTGCTCTCTGTGGGTGCAACAGAACCCACACTCGTGTGCTACCCCTGCTCTGAAGCCAGGAGGTGCCAATTACAAGAGCAATTAAGCAAAAAATGCCTGTTTTCTGCACAGTTGTGCCCCAGGCTGGAAAAGCCCAGATCTGTTCTCTGACAGAGTTCATTCAAGCAAGAGGGAGAGGCTGAATTACCAGCTAAAATGGAAAGAGACAAAAAGTGATAAATTGGAGAACAAACCACTGGAACTTATTTACTTCTTGAGAAATTAATGAACCCCATGAGCTCATAGGTTGCAAGGCAAATTAAATAAATGTCTTTTCCTTTTAAAATCTGGGGAATTACAGCAAGTGGAATTGACTTTATGCTTGTCTTCCCTCTAATTCACTACAGGTAGCGTCTGGTGAAACACAGAAGGGAAATGGCAAGAGAAATCTATATCAAAATGAAAACAAGATTAAGTGAAGGAGCCGGAGCAGGTCAAGGAATAGTGTATAACTTTAAACATTATATACATTATTTTGTCATACTTACCATTTCCTTACTTTACATTCACAGATGTAGGCCACAGTACACTTTAGGAGCTGATTCTATCACAAAAAAGAAAAGATCGACCAGCAAGTTAAAAGTAAATAAAGTTTGAAAAGCATTTGTACTTATCACATATAGTGCAGGGACTCAATGCTTTCTAGGTCAGTGCTGTATCTGACTTAGTCTGCAGCTTTCTCATCACCAAGCATTCAGAAATTCTATATATAACACACACATCATGTTTCTAAAATAAATCATGAGTTCATTTTACTTACTTGCAGATTTTGATGTGTACGGATTGTTTATTCTCCATGCTTTCCACATTCCTGTTTTTGGACAGAAGCCTTACAAATTTACCTTGAGGGTAGGTGAGAAAGGAGCTAAAGTTTGAGGTTACAGTGTTTCAAGAAGCATACCAAGCCCTTTCCCCCAGCATTTTTAGGTTAACGATAGAATTGTGGCAATTGGCAAAAATTTGAATATTAACAACTAAATAGGTTTTGGTAGGCTAAAAGTCTCAGACTCAGTCTCTTTTCCCCAGAAATATACCTGACAAAATTGGTTTAAACAATAGAAATAGTTAAAATATTGAAATTTTGTGTCTACCATGATATTTCTGGATGCTCACAGCTGAAAGACAACCTGTATTAAAATCTGTAAAAAATTAATTTATAAAAGAAACAAAATAAAATTTTTATCTATGAAGCTATTTTGGTAACACAAATGACTTGGTTCTGGAATCTAGCAAAATCCAGCTCACACAATTTTAATATGCCAACATCACTTATGACAGATTAAACAGGAGGTTTCACTTTTGGCACATAAAGCTGTCTGTTCTAGGTCACTGACAGTAACCCTCTGCCATAAAGCAGTAATGAGCCTTATGGTTTAATTAAAATATTACTTTTCCTTTTGTGTATTAACGATGGTTTCTTATGCTGTTCTCTTTATCTGTTTATATTCGGCACAACTATTTCATTATTGATGTAAAGCAGCAATTCAAAATTCAATTATTAATTTTCATGTAAATCTTTCTTGTCTAAATAATTGATGGGAAAGATGAGCAGAGGCATTTGGAGCCAGCAGTTGTTATTCCTTCTGCCTCTTCACATCCCTACAGTAGTAGCCTCTGTCAACTCCCTAAAAAACACAGCTTTTGGGGGAGATGGCTTGAATTGCCCAGCCTTGGATCAGTCCAGATGGGGAATTACCTGAATATAAATGTCTTCTCTGTCCTCCAAAAGCTGTACCTTCGTCCTGCCTTGCATATGGTTAAGCACCTGATTTTGCATAAACTCCTCAATCTTCTGCATCACGAGGAGGCTGCAGAGCTGCAGACAGCTGATCCTGCAAGAAGCCTCATTTGTCCAAATGCTTATCAAAAAATGCTCCAATTTAGGAAAAAGGCCAGGCAGCAAAATGCTGCTGCCCTACAGCACAAATTGTGCTTGAGAGTCGGAACTGAGCTGTGCTCTGCTCCTTTGCAAGGATATTTTTCTGCTGGACTCATAGATGTTAATTCTTCTACTTGGTTATCCCAAACTACTCCCACAGCACTAAAAATGCACCATCTCCATCTCCATCCAATCTCTCCCAGCCCTGCTCCTCATGATTCAGTAATTCCTATTTCCATACACGGCCCAAGCCTGGAATTAAACCCCTGGTACCTTAAACCCCAAGGGAGAAGCTATCGAGATCTACCTGGACATCTCCTGGGAGAAACACCAAGTCTTTGCCATCCTTTTAGTACAGCTTGCATTCTGTCATTTTCACAGCAATTAATATATTAAATAAAAGCATAGAATGACCTCCTTTCATAATGTTTAGGTTTTAAAATTCATTACAATCTAAAGAAAATACTCTGCAGTAGAGAACAGGTTATTCTGAGAAAGAAATGTCAGCGGCTTCCTCCTACTCTGCCCTGCTAACATTTTAATATATATTCTCTTTAAAAGTTAAATAGAATTGTAAGCTGTAAGAGGGAGTAAATGTTATAAAGATAGAAATCTCTATTGCCATTTATGTGATAAGTTAAAAAAAAAGCAACCCTTTTTGCATGCTTGGGGGTATTTTTCCCTCAGAAGTCACTTTTTAATCTGATTTAAATCCAATTAAGTCTGAACATCTAAAATGAAGAACAAGTCTTTGAATTTATGTATAACTGATTTAACTAATCATGGCTTTACTGCAGCGCTACTAAGAAAACAAACTATGAAAAATAAATGTGAAATTAGATCCAAATCACAGACAGCCTTGATTTTGTTTTTAAAATAAATAAATAATCATCCTGCACAAATCATGGGCCTCATTTCTACCAGCCAGTCAAAGCTGCAGTAGTTAGATTTTAAAAATAACAGTGAAAAATTATTTTGTAGTTAAAAGAAAATGACTGTGGTTTTTTTTTTTTTTTTTTTTTAACCTCACATTTTGGACAGAAAGCACTTGTGTTCCTTGAGAAACCTTCCTCCAGACAAACTGAGGACACTGAAGCAACTCGGGAAGCCCAGCTGCTCCAACAGCTCTGTCTTGATTTTGGACGCGGAGGAAACACAACCCTTTCCTCCATCAGCTCCTTCCTCACCTGCCAGGATGATGGATGCTAATCAGCTGCCTTCTTCAGCTAATTAGTCAGGTATCCCATGCTTTACTCTGACTTCCTCGTAAGCCAAGCAACCTTGGTAACCCACTGATACTTCAGGGGCGTGTCTGAGTCCTGGAAATCTCAGTTCCTACCACATCTTATCTATGTGCTGAAGGAAAATTGCGTTGCTGCCGTTGTACTGCAGCACGGTGCATGTTAGAGAACTCGTAATTGTATAACTGCAGGGAAAAGGAGTGACTTTAAAGCTACCTGTGATAGTAAAAGGGTTTTTAAATCATGGGGATTCAGGGTTAAAAGGAAAATTAAGCTTAGTAGGCCCTGAAAAGAAAAATAAATACCCTAGGTACATGAAGACCTTGTACCTTGCTATAACTGCACCTGTGTAGCTAGTACATGATAAATGATATAATTGTTAGATGGGATGATTGTTTAGTAATTAAATATAATTGCTGTTTAATCATAAGAATAATCATGAGAAACTGTGGTCAGGGGCCTAAGAAAGATCACGAGAAACTCATGTCAATGTATACAGTAGAACAACATGAGTTTAATAATTAATATGTAAGTTATATAAGGATAGAATATAAAATACGTAGAGCTCAAAAGTCATGTCGGAGTCAGATTTGGGTCTGTACCCCTGATTCCAGAGCTCTTAATAAAAGAACCTGCATAAAATCACATCCTGTGATTATGTGTGTTCCTGAACACTAACACCTGCCATACAATACCTTCCTTTAAGTTGGTTCATGTGTGAAAGCCCCTGTTGCATCACTGAGATGCCCTGGAATAGTGCCAGAGCGTGTGGCTGGGTGCCTGATGAGGCAGCTCTGGCTGTGGATCACAGGCTCCATCCATAGCTGCAGGCAGAACTCCTCCCAGACAGATTAGTACAAATTCATGTGTGCATCCAGCAATCCTGCTGGCATTTCTCCTTCCCCTCGCACACACATCCTCCCAGCCGCTGGAACGGGGCTCACAGAGATTGCATCTAGGAGAGCTCCACAGAACAGCTCATTTCTGAAATACCTATCAGCTGTCCATCACAGCTCAGATCCAGCTGCAAATGCTGTTTGCAACAGCTCAGAAACCCTGCAGCTATTCAGCCTGGGCAGTAAGAGCAAAGATGACAAGCCCAAAATGACAGCTCTTAACTCATTGCCTAATTCCTTTCCATGAAATAAAGCCTTTTCCTCCTTCCCTTGTGAACTAGGTAACAGATTGCAAAGTTTTCAGAGGAAAAAAAGTGGGAAATCTCACATATGTGTCTTGAAGATATGTCTTAGGTGTGCATAGGAGGAAAGAAACTCACTCAGACTGTTTCTTAAACTCCAGCACAGTTCTGTGCATCCAGCAGTCAGCTCCTGCTGTCATTTGTCTGTGCTTTTTCTCTGGGCTTAAGTGAAAGGATTGCTCAGCTATAGGTCATCTTCAATTTTTATAATACCTGTTTTGATAATCCAAATTTTACCACAGGTTAAAAGAAAAACTCCAATCATTTTTAAGGCACTTGAGTAGTCTCCCATTCATTCCACAACATATACATGTTCCAATTTCTCATCTTCTTTGCAGTCCTTTCCTAATAACCCTTGGCACTGAAGAGGATTAAGCAACAGATGATTTTGCAAATCATATCACACTTGCTAAGCATTAACTGAATGCCATTAAAGGTCCAAGCACCTCAGCTGGACTTGCAGGTATTTCTCTTCCTGCACAAACAGCACTGAAGAGCTCACAGGAAACAGCAGAAATGCAAGAGATGGCTATGCAAACAAACTTCAGTGTTTTGTCAGGGTTGGTTTTTAGTCCTGCACCTCTCCGTCCCAGGAATCAGCCAGCCATAAGAAATCCTTTTCCTAAATCACCGTGGGGCGCTGTAAGCTGCCCCAGTATTGCCCTTTTACCTGGTATCTTTAGATATATTACAGTCCACTTAGCCAAGGTGTCATGAGGGAACACATTTCTGTCCTTTCTTTTAAGAGTGATATATTTGGTGATCTTTTTCCCCCCTAAACATTAACAACCAGAAAAATGGAAAGACAAACATACCATCAAGAGATTTGAACTATTTCCTCTCTGCTGTGGAAAAGGGTGAATTAGTTAAAAGGCAATAAAAAGTGATGGATTTTTGGGAGAGCAAAATTAGCTATGATACATTTTAAAGTACTTTTGATATATTTATTAAAAGTCAAGATGTGCTTCAAAAGAAATCCCAGTACGCTTCCAAAAAACTGCATGGCTCAAAAAAGATGCACTTAAGAAATGAATCAACACTTTTTTTTTCAAATTTGCATTGGGATTTATCTGTGTTGTACCAGTAGTAGGGAAGGTTTTGCTGCAGCATTCTAATTAGTACAGATCTTATCTAAGTTTGAGCACTCTAAATTCACAACAATAGATAAGATGTGTTTATGCACATTTTACAGTATTTAGAATAGAATAGTTTTCCCCTCCCCTGCCTATACTGCAGTCCCTGTAGGAAATGTAAAGAAAATAGGGTGGACATTGCTGATGGCAATGCACCAGTGAGGTGGCATTCATTATCTTCTCCTGCATAATTAGATTTAGGTATGTCACCTTTTAAAATATAGCATAAGCAGTTGATTAACTTCTATTTCCTACTTATAAGCCCATAAAGAGACCAAAGGAAAACAGATGGAGGAGGGAGGGGTGCTGAGGCAGTGAGGCAAGGAAGGGGGAAGGCACAATTTAAGAATTGCTTGAGACTGCAGTCGATTAGGAAAACAAGGTATGGAAACTCATACACACACAAACACACTCCTCCTGTTATTCAAGGCTCAGCACATCCTCCAGAGGACAGCTTAATGGCCACTATCTACCTTGACCAGATGAAGTCCCTTCTCTTAATCCCCATTCCTCCTGAACTTGAATCCACTGCTATTTAGGTTTGTCATAAAATATTTCACTAGCTTTGCCATGCTATTACCTAATCAGTGAGTGTATTATATCACAATAACTTGTATGTGTTCCCCTTGGCACAGGAGCAGAGGACAGGTAACTCTGCTTTCCTGAACTAGCTGTAAACCCTGGATTAATATAAAGAAAAAACACAACCTTTCTTCCTTAGCAACCCCAATTTTTTTCTCTTCTTCCCACTATTTACTCAATGCCTCACTAACTTTAACAATGCCTGCAGCAGGCAGAACAAGCCAGTTACCTCTCAGACCCAGCAGGCACATCTGGGCACATCTGTGGGGGCTCCCCAGGCTGGGGCAGAGGGAAGCTGGGCACAGGCAGTGCCAGCCCAGCTCTCTGGCTCTGGAACTGCACCACTCACCACACCACTGGCTGCATGGAGCACCCTGCAGCCTCCAGGAATGGCCACTGGGCATCTGGCAGGATTTAAAGTCTAACCTGCAAAACAGGCAAGGATCAAAACCTGAATTAAATTGAAAACCTGTTAGCGCTCCCATGGCTGCCACACTCCAGGTACATAAATCATGGCAGGTGTGTGTCGCTGACCTGTAAAGAGTCTGTTTTCTTCAAAGAACAACAGCTTAAGTGAAAACTACCTTGCCAAGATATAATGACCTCCCTTTCCCCAGCCTGAACTGGGGAAAGCTATTAAAAACTACTAGAATATAAAAGGCAAAATATTTATTGCATGGTTACTTATACATGCTACATAGTCACCTTGAATAATAATATCGCTCCTACTTTTAGCTGCATTTTTAAACTTCTAGAATTTTCTTCAAGCCAAAAGAAAAAAATAAGATTATATTCCATTGTATGCTCAGTGACTGCTAAAAATCCTGTGATTTCGAGTTCTGCTAACATAGAACATATTCAGTGTTTTGCTATTATGTATTAAAAGTATTAAAAGTAAATGGTAAAGCAAACAGGGCTCTGACTGTTGTGAATTTTTGGAGGTTTTTGACAGAGATAGAAATTACATATATCAGCAAATATTCTTCAGTGCTTCACCGATGCTCCCCCTGAGCAATTTGTTTGCTGCTTCAGGATATTAGACAGCCATATATTTTACTTTTCCTGGTAGTAGCCAATTTGCAGGAAAGCAAGTAATATAAAAATAGCTATTTACTCAGTAACAAGCAGTACAGTACATTATCATTTGACATTGATGTTGTTAGAGGATAGCAAATTGATAATCAGTTCTTATTCTGTAACTTTGTAAACCATCTGCTTCTATCATTGCAAAGCATGCTCAGCTGCAGCAAAGCCTTTACTGCCATACTAACAAACAATTTGCTTTATAATGTCTAAAGATAATGTTGTATCAAAAGCTTTCTAATCGCCTCACTATTTAAATAAGTGGAATGGTTGGGTCATACAGAGATTCTGCAGAGAGGAATAAATTGTAACTCCCTGTTACACCCTTGCCAGAAGAGTATTTTGTTTACCTTTCAAACCCCGAGTTTGTGATATATATGGTCTATTATGTTATTAGATCCTACATGGCAATTTGATTACCATTTATCACAGAACTGGAGCAGCTCAAGATGGGTGCTGACAGCAGTGTGCTCCAGCCTCACTCCACAGAGCTCCTGCCCTGCTCAGCTCTCTCCAGAGGTGTGGTCAGTTCACCTGTGTGCCTCAGTTCATGCACCCAGGATTCTCTGTAAAGCCCTCAAAGGTGCCTACTGCTCTTCCCTAAACATCTAGAGACCTCAGCACTCTTTTAAGGTACAGTTTCATTCAATATCTAACATCTGAGAACAGCTTGGGAAGAACTATACTGTCATTGTACAGTCCCAAGAAACATTCTGCCTTCATGGGGATGAAAGTGGGGATGTGGGCTGAGGAATGCAAGCAGTTCACAAAGCTCCAAGCCTCCAATAATCTCTTTTAAGCTGCTA